CAGTGAATCAATGGAAGGAAGATCTTCCTCTCCGCCTCTCCTCCTCTCCGTATATATGCCTTTCCATCGCTTCTCGGCCTTTTGGCCAAGATCAAGTGCAGTATCTGTATTCCTGCCTTTCCAATAAAAATACATAAATATTTGAAAAAAAATTCAGGTAATTAGCTATTCTTATTACAAACAAAAACAAGCTCTCATGTTCCACTGAATACCTTTTCTACTTCCTGCTTTTAAAAAAACTGAATAGAAAGAATGAGAACACTCACCAAAATGCAGGAGAGCCCAGCTAAGATTACTTTAATCTGAAAGCTACCAGAGTTCTAGCTGAAATTCCTAAAACCAAAGTCATGAAGAACAATTAGAGAAGATTATACCCACATTTCTGTACTATGTATTTACATGTATCTAGCTCACTGATGAGGCTTTTAGCAGAAATTCTCCAATGGCTTCCTGCTTTCCTCCATAATCATTCATCACAAATATTTCAGACATCTATTTTTATTACAAAGGCAAATTTACAGAAAGGAGGAAAGACAGGAAGATCTTCCATCTGCTCCCCAAAGGCCACAATGACCAGAGGCGAGCTTAGCCAATCCGAAGCCACAAGCCAGGAGTTTCTTCCGAGTCTCCTATGCAGGTGCACAGTCCCATGGCTTTGCTGCCTTCCCAGGCCATCAGCAGAGCCAAGTCAGAAGTGGGGCAGCCAGGACACAAATTGGTGCCCATTAGGGATGTCAGCACTTGGGGAGATGCAGGGTTAGCCATTGAGGCCACAGCATCAGCCCCCCTTAAGTATTTATTCAGTCATCTATGTGACAAGTTTTTAAAATAAAATTGTCCAGCCCTTTAAAACCTTGTGACCTTATCACGTAGTCTGTGTGCTATAACCTACTCATTTGTAAAATGTGTGTGTGTGTGTACAAAAAGTAGAAGCTGTTATATGGAAGTAACCAACATGCCAAACTTCTTCTGGGCCACAAGGATGATATGTCACTCAACTGATACTTCATATAAACTCTTGGTTTTTGCTTTGCTTTGTTGCAAGTACTTACCTAAAGAGCAGATTTCACCTAGGATCTGCCCATCTGACATCAGAACAAACAGAACATGGCAAAATACGGGACAATTCTTACAGTTTCAATGTGGCTACAGACACGTTTCCACTCACATTTAATGACCAAACAAGTTACACGACCAATGCTTAACGATACACAGTTCTAGCACAGGAAGCAGGAGGATTCTAAGCAAATATACCAGCTACCAGAATACCTACCACCAGAATTTTTTAAAATTTATATAAATATATATATTCAGGCTCAATACTAAAAAGAGCATTTGCATAAGGAAGGTTTATTTTGTGCCAGACTGTCTTTATTCTACTATTAGTATTTTTGAAATATTCAGCTTTTTCCAAAGTATTCAACAAAGACGTTTGCAACTGATGAAAACACACCAATGAAACATGGGTATTTCTGAGAAAAGTAAGAAAAACAAACCTATGAAGCTATATCACAAAACATTTCAAGCTCTCAAAATTTGTCTCGGACAGCACAACAACAGCAGAAGGAACCGTCCTTCAGACAAGGCCTGGCTTCCGCTGAGAAGCTGGGTCAGTCAATCAATTGATCCTAAAATGGTGCTCACTTCGGCAGCACATATACAATTTAACTTAAAATGTTCTAAATGATTCTCAAATCTGGGCAGAGCTTGTTCCCCATCAAGGTGCAATATACACAGAATTCTCATCAATCTCAAGATCACTTCATTACAGGAGGTCCAGGGAGACTCAATTTCATACTGTTATTTTGAAAGGCAATAAAGCTAGAGATTGGACTTCAAGGCAAATCGCATTAAGAGGTTCATCTACGTGGTACCCAACGCAATCAAGAACACTTCTGAGCATCCACAGCTCTAAGACCTTCGCCACATACAGCAGACTTAATGCAAATGGAGAAGTAAGGACACAAAGCTGGGCAAAATAAGCATGAGCAAAAACATACTGAAATAAAACCACTATCAAAATACCCCAAGTTTTAAATATTGCTGTTTGATACCAGAGTACCCAACTCAGTGAGTATTAGCTGAACCATCTCCACCATTTAATATTTTTTATTTCTTATTTCCAGATTAATAGCTGTTTTGCTTTTTACTGATACATTACAATTGAATTCATGGAAGTTAATGTAGCAGCCAACTGTTTCCATGCACTGAGGTTCCCTTAATTTCAGTTCCCTCATTCCTGCCTTACCACCTGCTCAGCCTTTTCAGATCCTACTTTAAAATCATCATGGAAAAAACAGTGCTTAGGGATGAAAACATAGTATGTAGGGAAAGGAACTGTAACTTTCCTTCAAAGTGAGAGGATTATAACCTTTCAGGGTTAAAAAAACAACATATGAAAAGGTTCTAAGTGTACTAACCTGTTCTTAAAATTTGTTTTCCTTGCCTTTTAAATGTTTTAAGCTGATATAACTGAGAATTAAGAAATAAGAGTTTGAACAAATTCTAAATAAAAACTTGAAGAAACATTTACTCTGATTGGTTATTACACCATATACACATGCAGCAAGACATCATATAGTATGCATGCAAAAAAACTTTCTTAATAAATGCAGGGCCGGCACCATGGTGTTAACAAGCTAAGCCTCTGCCTGTGGTGCCAGCATCCTAAATGGGTGCTGGTTCGTGTCCAGAATGCTATTCTTCTGGTCCAGCATCCTGGTAATGGCCTGGGAAAACAGAGGAGGATGTCCCAAGGCTTTGAGGCTCAGCATCGATGTGGGGGATCCAGAGGAAGTTCCTAGCTCCCAGCTTCAGACTGGCCCAGCTCTGGTCATTGTGGTCATCTGAGGAGTGAACCAGTGGATAGAAGATCCTCTTTCTCCCCTGCTCTCTATACTCTGTAATTCTGCCTTTCGTAAATAAGTAAAATGCACATGCACCAGGAGCAGTGGTCTAGCACACCTGGGATGTCCATAGAAGTTTCAGTTGAGAGTTGGGCTGCTCAGGCTTTGCCTCAACTCCCTGCTCTGTGTGGGAAGCAGAAGTTAATGACTTAAGCAATCCAGCTCCTGCCACCCATATCGAAGACCTGGATGGAGATCCTGGCTCCTGGCTTTCACCAGGACCAGTCCAGGTCATCGTGAGCATTTAGGGAGTAAACGAGCAGATGAAAACTCTTTCTCACTTTGCCTTTCAAACAAATCAATCTCTTTTTTTTAAGATTAATAAAAAATGCTTTTTGAAAGTAAAATGTTACTTTCAAATCTCCAGTGTTTGCTTAATTCCAATTCTCTGAAAGGCAATCTAACAGAAAGAGTCCGTGTTTCCATTCTCTGGTCCCCTAACCAAACACCTACAACAGCCAGGGAGGGCTTGAGTGGCAGAAACCAGGAGCCCAGACACCGTGAGGACTTGCCCCAGGGGAATCAGAGTCATCCTCACTTTCTACCTCCTAGGATGCATTAGCAAAGAAGGAGAACAGCAAGTGGAGCAGCTCAAGGATCCAAGTGGCTCTGAAATACACGATCGTGCATAAAAAGCAACAGCTTAAGCTATTACACAATGTTCACCCCTTCAAATCTCGTATAACACACAGGCAACTTTGAGTATGCCCAGTAATTACTCCCCACTTCCGAAATGAAATACGCTCTTCACATCCATCATGAGGACTGACAAGTCACTGTGACTCAAGAGAAGCCCGCTTGCTTTTCTCACCCAGGCATCAGTGGGCCCTTAAAACGTATTCAGTCCTATGGCGATTATGAATACATCACTACCAAGAATGCAAAAAATCAATCCCAATAATACTGGCAGAAAGGTGCGGGACGGGGGGTAGTTACCAAGCTGGGTCACTGCTAAATTAGCACAAAGTGGTTCACTAGTGGTGGGTGCAGCGGAGCTTCGATACACAAGTTCCAGCCCTGAAGCGCCATATACTTACGACATACGTATATACCTTTCTCCAACATTAGACTCTTAGTTTTCTATAACTGTACTACATTAAGTATTGTCCCACTACTGTCTTCAAGCCTTCTCATCCTCTTCTTTTCCAACCAACACACAGCTGAAAACCCTAGCCAAAAAAAAAAAAAAAAAAAACACCTCCCCAAATTCCTTCTAATGAACATTTTCTCTCTATTCCTCTTTATTAACTTGATTAATATTCAGTCAGACCCTCCTCTCAATGTTCATATCCCACAAGCTTCACATCTCCATCCAGTCTCGGCTCCCCTGCAGAGGAAGCAGGGCTCCAAGAACACAACAATGCTTTTCAGAAAAAAATGCTTTTCAGGTGTAGGTAAGTTACAACATTAGTTCTATAATCATTTAAGGACATTCGGAGAAATAAGCAAATAGAGGATGAAGTAAAGCAATCCGAGAAAGAAAAAAAACAATTTTTAGAAAAATGCAAAACAAAACTGTCCCTGAATAACTGTGAATCTTTAATCAATTATGTCCTGGGAAACCTCGGGGGCATTACCACAAGCCTTTTCTAAATGACCTTCCAATACTAACAGCGGCCACCGTTTGATTAATGCCGAATTCCAAACAGGTTTTCCTCCCAAGCAAGCCGACCGATAAAACACGCTTCCCGCTCAGTCGTTCTCTCAAGACCATTTAAAGCCACACAAGAACGGATGACACGAGCCTAACCTTCCAGAAGGGACAGGGGTGGTGGGACCAACAGGTGACCACCAAAAAGGGGGGAGGGCAACCGCGACTCCTCCCCCTTCCATGGGGCCAGGACTCGGCGAGCGAAGGCCCCCCTCTCCCTCGGCCACGAGCTCCAGGACTTCCAAGGCCCCGAGGCTCGCCCTCAAGCGCCCGCCTCGCCCGGCCACGGCCCGGGGGAACGCGGCTGGTCCCCGCGACCGCCCGCCCTCTCCCGAGCAAAGGGTCAGCGCAGGACGCTTTCCCGGAGGGCTCCTCCGGGACTCAGCCACCAGGGAGTGGAGGGACCTGAGGAGTCCGAAAAAGAAGCCTAGCGATGCTATTACCTGGTTGGAACCTTGGCAACGCAAAGGGCAGTCGCTGCCGCTGCCCTTCTGCCCAACAACGCCTGCCTCAGCGCCACTGACATTGACACCGCCGCCATGTTGCCGCCGGCGAACGCCAGGATGAGGAGGACGGATCGCCGCGAGGATCGAACTTCCTTCGTTCTCAAGCCCTTTTAACTGCAACCTCGCGGCGTCCTCTGCTAGTTTGCTTGCTTTCTAAAACCATCTTGAGAAAAGAGGCAACAGGTTTGCTTCAAAGAGATTTTTTTTTTAAGAAAATGGATGAGACAAAAAAAAAAAATAAAAGCAAAAGTGCTCTGAATGGAAAATTACTGTCCTCACATATAATGCTTGTTGGATGTTGAGAACGGTTATTTGCAATGATAATGAAAAGAACATAAGAAAATACTTGAAAATTTAAACACCTGCAACTCATAATTTTTCAAAGAACTCAGACTATCTGGGGCTGAGCCCACTGTAGAGCCAGAGGGCTCTTCGGGTCTTTGAGAACCTAAAGTAGTACTTTTCCAAAGTGTTGCCAGATTCTGTCCGCAAGCCCTCAGGACAGGGCTGTCTCCAGTTTGGTGTTCTGTAGTTGCAATGATATCATATTTTCCAAACCCAAAACCTGGACACATGGCCTGAAAGACTGGTTTCAGGGAGAGCATTATGGACGTGTATGAGAAATCATATTTGATATCGTTATTTTCTCAGGAAATTGTGAATATGTGATCATAATCCAGAGACGCTTTTCATGCTCTACGCATGTAAGATGAAAAGTATCTCTTCTGAGAAAAATTTTGGTAATTGTTGTTTTATTGTGGGCTCCTGACCTTACAAGAGTTAGCTGTGGCTCATACAAAATATAAAGCAGGTTCCTGGGTGGGTTTGCTTTCTTAGGAAATTGAAAGAGTTGGAAAATCCCTGCTTTTAAAACTAAGCACAGTCAAATGAAATATCAATTAAATGAGCAGGATTCACAGGAGGCGGGAGAATGAGCTGATGCTTCATTCTAGCCAATTAAAGGAAAACTCAATATATGAGGGAAGGGAAGAAAGAAAGTTATATCCAAGGCAAGAGAAAATGCACAAGGAAGGAAAAAAGCAAGAGAGAACTAGTGCAAAGGGATTTTCCTTTAAATATTTTGTCTTGAAAGAATTAGATTACAGATATTACAGGTATTAAACAAAGGTGGTATGTGGCCGTCACCCAGGATCTCCCCCTGGGATCAGTAGCGTATCAATACCATATCAAACCAGGAACCCAACATTGCACAAAGTACCTGCTTAGTCCCGTTACATTTGGCAATTGTTATTACCCACCAACACGAACAAACACAGAGCTATTCCAGCTCTGCAAAGATCTTAGGGCTGCCACTTCATGGTAAAACCCACCCTCTTAATCCCACATGATCACTATTCTGAATGCATTTAAAATTTTTACAGTTTGAAAATGTCACATAGACTCATGCACTCTGAGGCCTTCAGAGATTTTGGGTTGTTTTTTGTTTTTTTTTTTTTTAAAAAAGGTGTATTTGAAAAGCCTACTTACAGAAAGAGAGGAGACAAAATCTTTCATCTGTGGGTCACTCCCCAAATGGTGTCAACAGCTGGGGCTTGGCTGGGCTGCAATCAGGAGCCAAGAGTTTCATCTGGGTTTCCCACGTGAATGCTCAGGCATGCCTCTGTTGCTTTCCCAGGTGCATTAACAAGGAACAGAATGAAAGTGGAGCAGCTGAGACTCAAAGTGCTACCCTGAGAGGGTGCCCACTTGGCAGGTAGAAGCTTAACGCACTGTGCCACATTGCTGCCCCCGATCTTTTGAGATTGATTTCTTTCAGTCAGCTTAATGCCCTTGAGATCCTTCTAATGTGTGGCATCTGTTGACAGTTTATTCCTTTCTTCTACTGACTAGTATGCTATGGAATGGATGCATCACTGTTTAATTATTCACTAACATTTTTATTGTTCCCCATTTATGACTACTACAAACAGCTACAACGATCATGTACAGATTTTTGTGTGGATATAAATGGTTGTCCCGCAGAGATGAGAAATACACAAAAGTGCAACTGGTGTCTTCTTTTAAGATTTATTTTTATTATTATTTTTTATTGGAAAGCCAGATATACAGAGAGGAGAGACAGAGAGGAAAATCTTCTGTCCAATGATTCACTCCCCAAGTGAGTGCAATGGCCACCGATGCTATGCCGGTCCGAAGCCAGGAGACTCTTCAAGGTCTCCCACGCGGGTGCAGGGTCCCAAAGCCTTGGACCATCCTCGACTGCTTTCCCAGGCCACAGGCAGGGAGCTGGAAGGGAAGCGGGGCTGCCAGGATAGAACCGGCGCCCATATGGGATCCCGAGCGTTCAAGGTGAGGACTTTAACCACTTGCGCCACCGTGCTGGGCCCGCAACTGGTGTCTTTTATGGTATATTTAGTTGTTAGGCTCCTGGCGGCAGGCATTTAGCATAGCAATTAAAGTGTCTCTTGGAATACCTACATCCCATATTGAAGTGGCTGAGTTCAAATTTTTTTTTAATGTATCTATTTTTATTGAAAAAGCCAATTTAGGGCCCGGCGCGGTGGCGCAAGTGGTTAAAGGTCCTCGCCTTGCACGCCCGGGATCCCATATGGGCGCCGGTTCTAATCCCGGCAGCCCCGCTTCCCTTCCAGCTCCCTGCCTGTGGCCTGGGAGAGCAGTCGAGGACGGCCCAAAGCTTTGGGAACCTGCACCTGCGTGGGAGACCCGGAAGAGGCTCCTGGCTTCGGATCGGCATAGCATCGGCCCGTTGCGCTCACTTGGGGAGTGAATCATCGGACGGAAGATCTTCCTCTCTGTCTCTCCTCTCTGTATATCCGCCTTTCCAATGAAAAAAATAATAAAAATAAATCTTTAAAGAAAAAGCCAATTTACAGGGAGAAGGACAGACAGAAAGATTTTCCGATTGCTGATTCTTTCCCTAAGCAGCCAGAATCACCAGAGCTAGGAGCTTCTTTGGGTCTCCCACATGGGCGCAGGGTCCAAAGATTTGGGCCGCCATCCACTGCTTTCCTTGGCCACAAGAAAGGAGCTGGATGGGAAGTGGAGCAGCTGGGATATGAACCAGCGCCCATATGGGATCCTGGTGCATGCAAGGTGAGGGTTTAGCCACTAGACTATCATGGTGGGCCTGGCTAAGTTCAAATCTTAACTACTCAACTTTCAATTCAATATCCTACAAATGGGTACCTTAATAGATAACAAGTGATGGCTCAAATATGTGAGTCACTCCACTCACATGAGAGCCCTGGACTGTGCTTCAGATCCTGGCTTCAGCCTGGTGCTGGCTGTTGTGGATATTTGGGGCATAAACCAGCAGATGGAACATCTCTGCATCTTAGCCTGTCTTCCTCATTCTAAAATGAAAATTTTAAAATGACCCATTTTTTTTAAAGATTTATTTTTTTATTGCAAAGTCAGATGTATATACAGAGGAGGAGAGACAGAGAGGAAGATCTTCCATCCAATGATTCACTCCCCAAGCTGCTGCAATGGCAGTAGCTAAGCTGATCCAGAGACAGGAACCTCCTCCAGGTTTCCCACGTGGGTGCAGGGTCCCACTAGGTTACCACACTGGGCCCAAAAATTAAATAAGGCTTTAAAAAAAAATGTGTGGATTGTGTATTTGTGAAAGTACTATTCATCAATCTTAGAACCTCAAGATCTGTTTTCTTCTGAAATGTTTTAATTTTATCTTTTACACTTAAGCTTATATCCATTTTGGATAGTTTTTGTGGGTTAGACTTTGAGTTAATGAGCTAAACACAGCAGTAACCTGACAATTGTTTTACTACCAGTGAGTACAAGCTGACCTTACATGGAGCCTCAGTAGATTCAAGTAGCTTTTAATTCATTTAGTATCCTTAGCCTTAATTCCCAACTAATATTCTGAGGAATACTAAAATTTTAAGAGATTTTAATATGTATTCTTCATAAATGATTTCATATTATTAATATATTCTTGACTTGAATATTCCCAATTTCCTTGAGTTCATTCTTACTTCCCCTCTTGCTTTTACCGTTCTCTTTAATCCTTAGAAGATGTCCAGAGAGTGACTCTCTGCCCTGCTTTCTGTTGTTGCTATTCTGATCCAGAACTCCGCCACCTCTCGCATGGATTGTCGCAATGGTGTCCCAGCGGCTTCTGCACAGCAGTCAGAAGGGAAACACGTTGTGCCATTCCCACGGGCTAAACCCTCCCAAGGGCTTCCTACCTAAACCAGAAGAAAAGCCAAAGACCTGATGAGGACGTTTAAGCTCGGGGCAGTGGGACATCTGACGGTTCTTTGGCTTTCTGCTCCGCAACTGTCTGTCCACTGCAGTCCAGACCCACTGGTTTCCTTGATAGTTCCAGAATATACCAGGCAGTTTCCTATCTGAAGGCCTTCGCACTTGATGTCCGCTGATGCCTGAGAGGTGTTCCCGGTGTTCAGAATACTCTATGTGCAAGCACCGACTCTTCCCTCACTTTCTCTTCCAAGTCTCTCCTCTTGTGTTATCTGTTTCTGATCATCCTTATCTATAATTTGGACCCCACTTCAAAAATCCCCTGCTTTGTTTTTCCTCTTTAGCATGTTTGTTTACATTTCAGTATTTTGTAACATTTCTGGGATAAATGTGAGTTACAAAAGAAGGAGGGAAACTTCTGAGAAACACGATCAGTTTCCCTTCAGCTGTAGACGAAACTTTTGCTTGCTTTCTTAGCCAAGCTTCCTGGAAGAGGTGTTCTGCTTCTGCACTAGAGATTGATTAAATAAGGAATGTCAGGTTTAAACCAATTGGTAAACGAATGATTGTCTTCTCGCTTTTACTTAGACATTTGCAACAGCCCTGCGAGCTTATGAAAGTATTTCTGGTTCTAATTCTGTTCTATCACTTGTATAAATCCCTGCAAAGGCAAACCATACTCTCAGGATAAACACACAAGACCTTAACCTGGTCTCATGGCTTCACCTTGTCTCCATGCCATTCATCTTTCTCTTCAGTTTTAATTTGCATTATGCCCATCAGCCGTCCTTCTAGCCTGCCCTCAATGGCTCATTTTCCTTACTGCTTCCCTAGTCATCGCCCTCACCCTTCAGATCACAGCTCTGAGTCACTTGCTTCAGGCTCCTCCC